CTTCTATCTTGAAGAGTCTCTGGCTGTAGGTTTACTGATAGAGTTTTAGGCTTGGTTTATATGGGAAAACTTTTGCTAGTGTTAATTTAAATTTTATGAAAGTAAATGGAAGACTCCTCTTTCCTTTTAAAAATTCTACATTTGTTTAACCCAAAGGTATCTGGCCATGTCCTGTGACAATGCTGAAGCAGCACTAGGCCTGGGCAAATAGTTCTGATCTAACTCATGCCCAGGTCCAAGTGTAATCTTGTAAAATGAACATCAAGATGATATTGATCAACCACATCTATAATTTCCATCTCTAAAAGGTCCTTTCCAAGTCAGAAGTTGTACTTCCAGGAATAAAAGACTGTTGATGGAAGTATATTGTGAAATGTCCCCAAAAGGTTAACAGGCAGTCACTGCACGTTAAATGGCAAGGTGAGAAGTCAGTGTGTTGCTAATTTATTATATATTTGGATATTGAAAGGAGTGTCTCTGATGATAAGAGTTTCTTACATTTTTGTAGTGATTTATATGTGTGGAAGGACTTTTTCCTACATGGTTCTATTTGATCATCTTCAATCTCTCCAGTATAATAAGGGAGCTTATTATATTACTGTAGAGGTTTGGAACCTAAATTCTGGAGAGAGTCCATGTTTTCTTGCCCAAGATCACAGAGAAAGCTGGTGAAAGAAAACTAAACTCCACGTTTTCTGACTCCTAGTGCAGATCTCTTTCCCATAATTCCTTTTGGCTTAATTTTTGGTTAAAAGCAACGACTTCTATTGGGGGGATGGCAAAAAGAGCCTGGGCTGGGAATCGGAGGATCTGAGGTCTAGCTCTCACTCTGTCACTAATCAGTTAAATGGTCCCTAAAGTTCTTTATGGCTCAGTTTCCTCAGCTATAAAATAAAAACATCAGTTATAACAACCTTGACATGTTCTGCTCTGAAATTCTAGGAATCACAGATGTAAACGCAAAGCACAAAATGGATACAGATGAATAAGAACCTTCAGGAACACAGGAAGGAGATAATGACCTAGTATAGGCTTGGCTTAAAATTAATGGGTCATCAGTAACTCTGTCCTTACAACTTGTTCCAAAAAATAAATACCACAACTACATTTTCTAGCCCACACTTAGCACCCACCCACAGTCCTGTCTCATCCTGTCATCCTGGTCTTATATTCCCCACTCCTCCTTTTCACACACCCTTTGTTTGAAACTGGACTATTTGCTCTTCTCTAAACAATTTCTCTTCATACTCTGACTCCCACTATTCCCTCGTCTCTCCACACTGAATCTCCTCCTGTCCCTATCTCCCTATTTCCAAGTCCTTTTGTATGTTTTAATACTCAGGGAAAACGATACTCCCTTCAAGAAGCCTCTGAACCTCCGCGGCACTTATTTTCCTATAGCTCTCGTGCCCTTCAACGTTTCTGCCTGTACGTTTATAGACAGGTCTTCTTTCTCTTTCTGCATCATAAGCTCCTTGAAGGCAGGGGCTCCCTCTTATTTATCTTTCTATCACCCACAATACCTGGCCCAGTACCTTACACAGAGGAGACGATAAAACATATATTGAACATATTATTATCGGCATGACCATAGTATGAATAAGACACTATTTTAATGAACAGATATTTGATAGAATTATTTCCACTTTCAATGTGTCCAGAATCAGAATTCTATAGCAGAAAGTTAGAGATCATGTGGTTTAATTTCCTTCATTTGAGGAAAATGAGGTCAGGAGAAGCCTGACCACCTGACCATGGTCACATTGCTATTCTATTTAGAATAAAAGCAAAACCAGATCAGTATTTTCCTAACTTCCAAGCTGCCTCTCCCCATAATGATCTGCCCTTTCTCCTTCCACATGGAACAATGCTAATAATACATACGGATAATAGCAACCCAACAATGAAAGGGAGCACATGACATTCGTTGACATAATAAACTTGCATATCGGTTAAACCTAGCATTTCCCATTTCTTTTCAATCCTAATTTTTCTTTTTCCATGTTCTTTCCTGTGTACCTCTTCCCTTTGGAAAAAAGATGCCTGACAATGTCGAGGGTCACTGTGGTGATTATCGCCCTGAGACAGGCAGAATTCTGACTGCGCTGAGCAGGAATTCAGCTGTCACCACACAAGAGGCTGCTTAGCATGTGGCTCTCCCATGTGCTTTGAAAGGCTGTGCCTCCTCTTATCAAGCATTGTCTTCTGGCGTGCTTTTAACAGGACTGAACCAAATGTATATTGAAGAAATATATGAAAGCTGTGTTCTAGAAAACAAGTTTGTATGCCCTGAGTTGGTTAAGCTATAACAAGAATGTGTAACTTTCATAGAGCATCTCGGCTCATTCCCTTATTTGTTCATAAACATTTCACGAGCACCTCGTTTGTGCCAGGTACATGCCATATTGTTTCATAACCCATGACGTGTCTGTGTCCCCTATTAGACTGTGAGCTCTTGCAGTCTAGTGAAGAGGACAGGTAATTCAATAAAGGGTTAAAAGCCACTTGTAAATGCAGTATTGGAGGGATGCAGGGATGGGGTGCTGTGAGAATGGAGCTCAGGGGGGGCCTAACGGTGCAGCCGTGGGTTGGCAGGGGTGGTGTGGGTCTGGTAGGGGGTTGAGCTGGCTTTTGAAATATATGAAGAAATTCACCAGCCAGACGAGAGTGGAAAGCATTTCAAAGAGAGTGAAAAGAATATGCAAAAGCTCAGAGGTATAAGAGAGCTATGTCACATTCAGGGAACTCTAAGGAGGGGAGTAGCAAGAAGGCAGGTGTACCTGGGCCAAACGATCGGAGCAAGGCTGGCAAGGTAGGCAGAAGAGAGAAGGCAAGGGCTTTGTGTGCCCTGCTCTGGAACCTGCGCTTGCTCTTGTAAGAGAATGGTAACCATGAGAATACCTTAATCTGGAAGGGACATGACAAGATTTGATCTGTCACATCCTCAGGACTACTCCTCAGGACAACCCTATGATGCTTTGCAGATGAGGAAAGTCAGGATTAGAGAACTGAAATGCTGCTCTTGTAAGTGAATGGTAACCATGGGAATACCTTAATCTGGAAGGGACATGACAGGATTTGATCTATCACATCCTCAGGACTACTCCTCAGGACAACCCTATGATGCTTTGCAGATGAGGAAAGTCAGGATTAGAGAACTGAAATGCTGCTTACAAGGTTACACAGCTAAAAAGTAGCAGAGGTGGAATTCAAACGCAGGGGCTCTTCCAAAGACCTCTGCAGCTACTATGGGTGCTGATCCAGATCCAAATTGTCTGTAGCTTCTTGCTCTCACTCAGAAATTCAGAATGAGTCATCTTCACTCCTTTTCTCTCCGTAAGTGAATAAACAAAATGAGCCTCAACTTTCCAACTCAAAAAGAGAAAACCTTTGGGAGACTTTTGCTGAAGTTTTCTTGAGCCCAAGTAACCGAGAAGCTGAAGCATCTCTTGATTCTCACAGGAACTGAAGAATCCCAGTGTTTTGATCTCTCTTATGTTTCGCCCTTGCTCTTCTGAGATCTCATCTCCTTTAGGTAGGCTCATATGATATTTACTTCTTCTTGCACTATTCACAAGCATTTTGGCTCGTTCCCTTAGTTGTTCATAAACATTTCACCGGTACCTCATTTGTGCCAGGTATATGCCATATTGTTTCATAACCCATGACATTTCTGTGTCCCCTATTAGACTGTAAGCTCTTGCAGTCTAGTGAAGAGGACAGGTAATTTGATAAAGGGTTAAAAGCCACTTGTAAATGCAGTATTGGAGGGATGTAGGGATGGGGTGCTGTGAAAATGGAGCTGATACGGGGCCCAAGTGCGCAGCTGTGGGCTGACAGGGGGCTGTGGGTCTGGCAGCTGGTTGAGCGGATATTTACTTCTTGAAGTAAATATCACTAATAAGTTTGTGTGTTTACTCTAGAAATGCTGACTTTGCCTGGGAGGCAACAGCAAGCTTCTGCTGAGTCTGAAGCAGAGGTACCTCCACAGAGATCCTGCCAAAAGCGAATCTTTTGTTTTAGGAAAAACATCTGCCTGCCTTTGTTGATGCAAGGGAGGGGCTAAAAACTCTCTCTGGTGTGATGCTATGTCATAGTCTCCTTTTGGATCTGGTGGAAGAGTTTTGTCTACTGAGACCCAAGAGCGATACTCCAAATATGTGAGAATCAATGAGATCTCAGCACTGACCAACCAGAATGGACACTGGCCCATGGAGACCCTGATTGGCTGCCACAATGGCCTAGATAGCAGCTCGTCCAACACCCAACAGAGAAGGTACATCCTCTGCAAAAGTAATACTCTGGGATGTCTGTAGCCTCAGTCCCTGTCTCCTGAGGAGACCGATTGGGATGCCTTATACTCCTGCTTGTACCTGCTTTCTGAAAACGCAGTGCAGAGCAAGAGCACTACCAATTCCTGCGGCTGGGAGGGCCTGCTGTCGGCAGCAATGCTTGTGGGGCCAAAGCCAAACTGCTGCTCCTTTACATCTGCCATCTCAGTGGGAGAAGAGGGTGCCCCATTCATTCAGGGGCCCTCTTCCCTTAAGAGTTCTGTCTGGACTATCTTTACAATGCCTTAGAAGGTAAATAAATAAGTATAATTCCAGTCTTCATTAAAAGTGGTAGATATAACCTTATATGGTTTGGGTTTCCCTAAGCTCAGTCTTTCTATTAATATTTGGACATTTTCACAATAGCGAACATCGTAAATTATCTGACTCATGTTAAAGAAGTTGTAGGAGAAAGAACAATCTGTTAAGAACCTTGCATTCTACACATAAAGAATTGGAGCTTCTGTACAAGGCTGAAGGCCCTCTTTACACATTACCTGCAAATGGAGGCAGGAACCCAACTTTTATAAATTACCCAGTAATATATAGAGTACTCTTGTAACATAGGTTATTAATCTACAGGAGCTCACATGCATCAGATGCTCAGACAGCTGAGTGCCTAGTAATGTAGCACGTCCCTCCTAGCAAAATGATGGTAATCCATCTAACCTGTAGGCAGTGTGTGGCTTCAGTGGTCCGTCACAGAATTTTTGCTGATTGGGATCGCATTTTCCACCGAGGCTCTCCATCTCTGCTCCAAGCTTAATATTAAAACTCTTGGAGTTGCTGTCAGGACTTTCAGCACATTTGCTGGCAAAATAATTGGTCTGATACACTCGAATGGAGGCATTGTGCCTGTATTCCAGGTAGGAAGGGAGAGGATGCTGCTGTTCTGGCTTCAGCTCATTACTGCCTGGAGGAGAAAACCCACAGTTAAGGACAGCCTTTCTCGTGACTTGAGTGATTTCAGTGATTTCTAAGTGGTTTCATCCACTATCTCTGGCCATCAACAAAGTACAGATCCTGGGATCTCAGAGGATGATGTGAAATTCTCCTAATGAAATTAATTTTAATTCACTTTTTCTAAAATAAAAATAAAGTATGTATGTGTGTATGTAAAATACACATCTATACCATCATTTTCCTAGGAAATAAAATGAGGGTAAGTCATTGCATGAAATGATAACATGTCCTGCAACTCCAGAGAGTTGGACAACTCCCCCTTGTGAGAGTCAACCCACTCAGTGAGCTCTCTACCTTGCCAATAACCACTGTAGTTGAGCTAATAAGGAAACCCCTATGACCTGGGAAATAGGGAAAAGATAAGAGAAATCATGTCACAGGTCAGAGAGGTCATCCCACAAGGCACGCTCCATGTGCCATGCCTGGTCTGATAATTGCTCTGCGTGTGGCTTTCTGTTATCTTGAGTACAGTTTAATCCTGGCTCAAATTCGGCCCCTCGCTCAGAGCACTTCCCAGAACTCTTCCCCCATCTACCCAGCCTGCTGTGTGTTTTGGCACTGCAAGCTAGTTTTGATGTTGGCTGGAGAAAAGCAAAAGTAGGAAGATAAATATTATAAAGATCAGATACCATTTACAATGAACTTGAAGGAGTGGTACTGTGGGGGTTCATCGTAGCATCCTGGACTCTTGTTTAATAAAATTTTCTCACAATGAGCGGGTCTTGGAAATAATATTTTGTTGGCAGTAGTTAAAAAGGAACGCTGCATTTAGAATAAGCATATATGCTATAAATGACATTTCTATGACATGGGTTGTTATCTTAGCCCACCAAGGAACCACAGCCAATCTCCATGGACATCAATAATGGAAACTCAACACAGTTGGAAAACACAAGGCTGTTTTCTGGGGTGTGACTTCTTTTTGGTCACTGCCTTATATTCATGGAATAAAACATTGTCTTCATTGCAGCCTAATTAAATCTAAATTCTTTCCGCAGTTCACCAATTTATCTTCAATTATGAGGTGTGAGGAAATCTGGGATGCACCACTGACCCTTGAAATTATTTAATTAATTATGCACAACTAGCTTTAGTACAATTAAATAAAATGTAAAAGCACACAGACTGTTAGATACCCAGTGAGATTAAAATACCATTTAGCCTAGAAATTGCTTCAGTGTTTGTCAGGTTTAAAGTTTCTCCCTTAGTCCCAAATGGGTCAAAATTATCAGGGATGCTTAAGAAACTCATGTGTGGCACATTAAACAATTTTGAAAAATATAAGGAAGGTAAAATGTATTAATGCCATTCCAGGCATGAGCATCTCTTCTGGAGACATAACACACAAGACCTCAGTGGCAAATACATACATGGACATGTGTGCCCCAAACACAACATTCCTACTGGTGGTTTGGCAAATGTTGTTATAATAAGCTCTGAAGATCATACTCAGTGGTTAACGGAATGTTGTGATAACTACTACCCAGTATTTGCCCAGTCCGCAGGCATTAGGTAGACAGTAAATAATTTAGGAAACTATAGAATAAAACATACTACTCAAAATTCGTTAGAAAAAGGAGGAATGATTCTCATGAACATCTTTTCCTTCTTTCAAGCTTTTGGTTATTTTTGTAAATTGGTGGGTGGTTTGAGAGTGTATGGTCAGTTGAGGTGTTTGAGGCAGGGATGGGCGGAGAGAGTTGAAGCATACTACTGTTCAATGGCGGAACAAGAGAGCAGTAGGCAAGATGGAATAAACAGTGAAGAGGATAGAACGGGTCAATACGCACAATGCACTTCCAGCAACGCCTAGCACATAGTAAGGGCTCAATCAATGACGGTCATTGTTGTCATTGCTGTTGTTGCTATCATTATTATTTTCCCATTTAATAATTCAACCCAGAGGATAATAGGCTTTATTGCCTATTTTTTGAGTCTTTGAGGAGTTTTTTGTTACATCTCTGTGTATCCAGCAGAGATTGAGCCAGATGATATTAAAAACTTGTCACAGAAACAGTCCCCACGTGAACTGTGAGAAATAGTAGAGTTAACTCATGACAACTTACCATCAGCCTCTCTCACCACCACTGTGAAGTATTTCACGGCTCCGTTGGTGTCACTGAACCAGCTGCAGTTGACCGTGAAGTTGATGGAAGATTTGCTAATTAGCACGTCCTTTTCATTCACACGTATGTGTGGAGGTGGAGGAGGGGGGCCTGGGAAAAGGGGTGAGGAAGGAACCACGAGGGGTCACAACTCTGCTTTCACATGATAAACAACAGTTAGTGAAATGCAGGGCTCCACTCCTACCTCAGACCGTATGTGTGTGTACACGCACATGTGTGTATGTGTTTAACACTTATAATCAAGAAACTCTCCTCTCTCCTGAAGGAAAGCAGGGAGAGGAAGTGATTTGCGAGTGGCACATTAAACATAATGAAAGAGGCAGCTCTTCAGCAGGATTTCCTGAAGTTGTAGCATCAAATTGCTTAAAAGCTCCATTACAGCTCCAACTATATCAGGCACAGTGATGTATTTAAATACTAACTCATCCAGTTACTTTAAGATCACTTAACTTGTTTGCTGGCAGGGTACTTCAGCCAGAGAAATGTTTTCATTTCTTGGAGTCTTTTAGGTCCTCCTTTCCAAGTGACAACCAGATGGGCTTATGCAAACGTGAACTGTATGCAAGTGAATAGTGGGGACAGTATGACAAAGAAGGTGCAGAGCCCCCTCACCCTGAGTGAAAGGAGGCTCCAGGTGCACCTCCAGGGACACTTACGGTCTATCATTGTGATGGTGCTGTCTTCAACCACCTCGCTGGTCATGCCGGCTGACTGTACCTTGATGGACACCAGGTACCTCTTATGGGGCACTAGCATCATGATGTTGAGCAGAGATTTTTCTTTCTCCAGCTTTCTGGAAAACTCAACTTCTTGGGTGTCCATTTTCCGGCATTCAATGCTATACCCATCGAAGTCAGAATCAGGAGGGATCCAAGAACAGGCAATGGCCGTTGAGTTCTGAGGTCGGCAATGCAGGTTTTGTATCTTGTCTGGCTCTAAAGGAGAGAGAGGAATAGACACATTTCAGAACTCTAGGAGACACATTTTTCCTCCAGCTCTTTTGTTTCCAACTAGCTCTGGGATCTAAATAAATAGTTCTCAAAATTTACTTGGATTGTTTTAAGAGGAAAAAATTCTCACGGATCACCAAGGGAATTTCTGCCTGCTAGACCCCACTTTGAGAAGCATCAAAAGTTAAAATGCTGTCCTGTTAGAAAATCATGAAGTGACAACATGATCAAAGAGGGCACTGAAATCAAGTGGCCAAAGTCAGAGGGAAGGTGAGGCAGAGTAGTGCTCTGATTTGGAAAACAACCAACCTTCTGCTGACACATGCTTTGTTATAGGATTTCTTGTCCTAAACAATCACAACTTGGAAACACTTAGCATTGTAATTCTTGTTTCATACCAAGGAACACAAATGTCAGCTAAGTCGCAAAAGGTTATAACATACATATAACAGACTACCAGAAGAAGCAGAAGAAGAAGAAAAAAAAGGGAGAAATATTTGAAACAATACTGACTAAGAATTTCCCACAAATTAATGCCAGACACCAGACTGCAGATCCAGGAAGCTCAGAAAACAACAGGTAGAATATATGCCAAAAAACCCACTATGCCTAGGCATATAGTTTTCGTACTACGGAAAATCAAATATAAATTCCTAAAAGAAGCCAGAGGGGGAAAAACATCTTCCCTATAGATGAACAAAGATAAGAATTACATCTGCCTTTTCCTCAGAAATCATGTGAACAAGGAGGGAGTGGAGTGAAATATTTCAAGTGCTGATAGAAACAGGTACCTATGATGTACAAGGTGCTCTTGTAGGGACTGTGAACAGTGGAGAGGTAGGTAAGACGTTGGCCTTAACCTCCAGGAAGGGAGATGAGTCCAAAATAGCCATAATACAAGGTAGAAAGGAGACTGTACCAGAAAAAAAGGGGAAAGAAGGTGCTGTGTGGGGTGACACAAAACTTTAGCTGCCAGAGTTTACAGAAGTCAGTAAACTTTATGGCAGAGATGGCACCTGGCCAAGGTATTGGGAGAGGGGAATTCTGGGTTGAGAAAACCAGGAACCCAGGCACCAAGAGAGGGGCTGGGGAAAGTGGGAAGGTAGATAATTGAGAATTGCAAGTTGTTCATCGTGGTTGGAGCATATTTGTAAGAAATCAAGTCTTATCTTGATGAAATGATTTTATGTAAGAATTAGAAACTTCTATTCTGTTTAAGCCTCTGTTATTTTGGATTTTCTGTTACCCACAGACAAATCCAATCCTAATGAGTACAATCCCAAAAAAAAAAAAATCATCATCATTCCTCATAATACACGGGATTGAGTTCCTCTTTGTGCTGTTCTTGTCTTGGGCGTGCCCCATTTGGTAAATGCTTTTCTTCAATTCTAGCATCCAGGACTGAAGACAATAGTCCAGTTGTGATCTATAAGCCCATCTTCTATGGAGTTGTATGAACTCTTTAAATTGAGCTCCTGCTATGCTGTTGGGAAAGGCAGTCTCATGTGTGAAATATTTCTTCTTTTGACCCCTTGGGCCTCAAACATTTCCTTACCAAGAGATCAAGTACCCTCAAGGGCCTGTGCTGGGCTTATTGCCTGTATGGGAATATCTTTCCCTGTTGTGAACTCAATGTATGCTCTTTTGCTCTGTTTAAGCATGTGTATCACATGGCATCTGGCCAACACCAGTCCTATATCTGTCCTCTGAGGAGAGGGTCCTTCTACTGCAGCCTAACAAAAGTGCACAAAGCCAGTGGCCCTGCATCGGCAACTGGGAGAGACCTCCTGGCCATGGGGGACTGACACATACTACTGAAGCTGATCTTGCTCTGTCTCTTCTCTATGTAAGTAAAGATTTGTTTCACCCAGTGCTTGACTATGTTATGTTTCCCTTGGTGACTCCAATACCAAGAAGCAATGGAAATAGTGTTTAGAGCCCAGCCTTGGGTTTGGTAACTGCTGCAGGTTGTTCTGTTTAACAGATTTATTAATACAATCTTAACACAGTGCACAATAAGCCACTGAAAACTCAGCCTGAGCTTGCTATAAAGTATTAATATAAAACTCTTAGTTATTTTTCACATATTTCTCTTGACACACAACAATCTGATCCCAAACTGCTCTTTGGATATCATACGGAGCACAAGTTATACCTGTTATAGCATTAATGTTTATTGAATAAATAAAACAACTACCTGCTTAAATTTCTAATTTTCTATTATGTATTTTATCAACAACCAATAAGTATCTCATCTGATCTTAGGAGCTACAAGTACTGAGTATTATTGAAAAATAAATATTTGCATTGAGGTTCCTACACTGAAAATCATTGCTTCTTTGAGGATTGCTACATCTATCCCAAAATGCCTTTGGGAAGAAACTGGTATACACTTCATGGTGAAAATATTTTCTCTTAGGGATGTGCAGAAGTATTTCCTAACTGATCCCTCTGCTTCTAGTCTTGCCCCTTTCAATCTATTTGCTACACTGTACCCAGAGTGACTTTCTAAAGTGTAAGTAATGATTGTGGTATCTTTGCTGAAATTGAGTGGCTCCAATTGGTTCAGAATGAAGTTAAAAGTTGTTACCATGACACATAGACATTTTACGATCTGATTCTCTTAATCCTCACCTTTTATGCTCTGGCCAGGTAAACGTCTTTCTGTTCCTTATTAGCTGATCTTTCTTTCTCCTCCCTGATCTTGGAATATTTTATTCACTCTACCTGGAATATTCTTCACTTCTTCCCCCACCTCTGCCTGGTGAATCCTGCTCTTTCCTTGTGTTCAATTTGGCTGTTTCTTCTTCCAGCAAGCTCCCTGGTATTGGGTCTACCGGTCTTTCTATAGTGCCATTTATTAATACTTCCTGCATCACACCCAAAATATACTGTTTAATGGTAGTGCCTCCCACCTAATTATAAGCTCCGTGAGGGCAGAGATTATTTCTTTATCATCTATTGCTGTTAATGTTGAACAAATGAACAAATCTGTATAGATTTCTGCCTGAATTCAAATCCAACCAATCCCAAGCAAAAAATGTGGATTTAAACCAAGCTCCATTGAAATAAGATGTTGAACATATATTTCCTCTCACCCCAAATGAGAATAAAGAGTAGCAAAACGTGTCATACTTGTCCTCACAGATTGAAAAATTGGTTTGCTGTAGGTTTTCCAGGAATCGCCACTGACGGTCCTGACACTGAATTGATAGGATCTCCCTGGACGAAGACCATACACGATGCGTCCTTCTGATTTTCTACTGTTGTAGGGGTTGAAGACAGTGAGTGCATCTCTAGGCAACCATTGCAGCTCAAAGTCATTGTAGTCCGTCCAGTCTGGGGGCCCTTTCCAGGTGATGGCCAAGGATGTGTTCGCAACATCAGCAAATGACATAAGACTGGGAGGACTTGGGGCTGTATGTAGGAGAAAGTGAAAAATCACATTATCACATCCATAACATATACAAATAAGACAGCTGAGCAACATCAGTACATTTTAATGTACTTTGTAGGAAGAGATAATATGATAATAATATAGTAGTAGGAGCTTTCCTTTATAATATTTATTAGGTGTAAGGTACTGTCCTCAATTATTTTACATATCTTTTCTTAAATATTCATAACCAGAGCTTCCTTACTGGGGCACTGTGGAACATGAGTGTGCTCTGAATGGGTTACAAGTGTGCGAAGGTATTGATTCCATCAGATTTGGGGGCGACAGGGCTGGGGTCCACAGACAATTATGTCCAGTTGCAGACAACCTGGCTGATTGATCCCAGGGTGGCACACAGATATTAATATTATCTATGTGTTCCCATGACATAAAATCATTTAGGAAGCACTGGTCATAGCAACACAATGATGATGTATATGATTATCCCCATTTTGCAAGTAAGAAAACTGAGGTTTAGAGAGGTTCCATGACTTATCCAGCTTCATACAGGTGAATGGCAGAACTAAGCTAAGGACCTAGATCTTTTTGACCAAAACCTGTGTCCTTTATCTACTCTACCATAGTGCCTTCTCAAGCTCAGGGCTAGCACATGGCACATCATTAATAACTTTATTTCTTACCATTAAAATCATAATGAAAATGTGTCTTTTTGAAGCTACGTCCCACCCACCCTTGGCCATTGGCACCTGGGCTACCTACCTGTTCTGCTCTCCCCTGTGACCTGATTGCTGAGGTCGCCGCTGTGAGTTACCACACACAGCGTGTACTTCCTTCCAGGAACGAGGCCGTGGAAACGCCACTCTGTCAAGTCCTTGTCTTTCCAGTTTTCCTTCTTCGTGCCATTGGGATGGTAGAGAATCAGCTCATAAAAGTCGAAGTCCCCAGAGGCTGGACTCCAGCTGAACCAAAGGCTGTCTGTCATGTTCCGATTGGACCCCTTGAGATTACTGACGGAGGCTGGGACTTAAACAGAAGAAAAACTCTCACTGAGAACAAAACAGAAACGAAGGCCTTTTGGCCTGCAGGTGAGAATGTGAGCCACGTTGGGCCTGCGGGCGAGTCATACGTCCTGTAGAGTCGTATCTCGCCTACATTTCAGATCGCTTAAGTTCAGGGGCGTGCGGTCTAGAGATGTGGCACAAATTAAAACAAAACAAAACAGGTGGTGACTTCTGTATGCTTGCCACACGCACCCTGATAAACATGTCAAATGAAATCTTCCTAAATGCTTAATTAAGACTAGGCAAATAGTTTGTAACTTAGCTCATAAAAGGCCCAGAAAATGTTCATAAAATGTTCCAGTTCCTCCCAGTCTGGCCCATCTCACTAGCAGCCACCGTCCCATAACAACCCTCTCTGGGTCTCGTTACTTCCTCTCCATTCTCCTTTAGGTTCTCAGTTTTCTTACGCTCTTTCTTATACAATCTGTATTGGCACAACCTCATTTAGGAAAAGAAATGTTAACAGTCACTCCCCCCATTGTATAAATTAGCCACATGGCCACCTGTCCCGTGGAGATTTAAGCTTTGTTATTCTTTGGAGAATGAAGACTGTTGCCACCTGTTGGGGGGACTTTAAATATTGTTGGGCAGGTAAGGGAAGGTGTGCAGAGGGCAGGGGGCCTGAAAACGGCACCATCTAGGCAATTCTATTTGTGGTCGAGGTGTGTTGCTGCTCTTTTCCATTCCTTTCAAAAGACATACTGAGCACTTCTGCTGGGTGTCCTTGGCGTATGTCTTCACGTGGCTCCCCTCATCTCAGGTCTCAGCTGCAGTGCCTTCTCTATCTAAAGCAGTCTCTTGTCCTGCCAAGTCACTGTTGTGACACATTGTTCATTTCTTTCATAGAATTTAAGGTGTTTTCAAATCATCTCCCTTTAAAATCTGTCCCAGTCCCCTCCCCTCTCCCCTGGTGTGCAGCTCTCTGAGGTCAGGCGCCTTGTCTGTCTTTCACTGTCATATTTCAGCAGTCAGCCGTGTGCCTGGCACAGAAGAGCACCCCAAAACTATTGTCAGATGAGGAAAAAAAATTGAATAGGAGATAACAAACTCATAGAAAAAAGTAGATTCTGTTTCTTATTTGCAGCCCAGAGAGATGTCTCTTTCTCTCCCTCTATCTCTCACTCAGTATCCTGAAACTCTCTGTTTTCATTTCCTCTAGTGCTGTGTTTCCAATTCACAGCAGTCACTGCTTGTTTGTTCAATTTGTGGTTGTCTTTCTCTGCTCCTGCCCTCCACTCCATCTGCTTCTTGTAGAAAGCCGAAGGGCATAGCTTGAACTGAGCCGTGATGGGTCACATACCACCTTCTTATACAGTCCGCTGGCAAGTGGAGGGACCAGATTCATTTTTCACCAAACCCCATCAAGCAAACAAGTGGAGGCAAAGAGCAGAAGCCAGGGTAAAAAGGGGCTACAAATTATCTGTGTATAATCAAAGGTGTAATTTAGGGTCAAAAAACCTGAAAGTCACACATTTCACATGAAGCTACATCCTGGATAGAACAGGACACTAAGGACAAATCAAGGAAAAGCCAGTGACAATTGCCTTGCTGTTCATTACTGCTTGGGTCCCAGTCTTACCTGTTCGACCGAATATGAAAGATTCATTCGACAGCTCCCCACTATGAGTTACAATCACCATCTTGTACATTCTGCCTTGCAGCAAGTTCTGGAAAGAGAAGCTCTGGACTTGAGGGTCAACTTGCGCTCTCTCCTGAAGGGTCCGATCCGGGTTGTACAGAAAGATATTGTACCAGTTGAGCTCCCCCACGGAGGGCGTCCAGCTGAAGGACAGGTGCCTGGTGGAGTTCTCTGTGATCTTCAGATTGGTGACAGCTGCTGGGACTGGAAAGTCAGGAGCAAGAGAATGAGGGAGGGAGAGGCAGGGGGTGGGAAAGAAAGGGAAAAGCAAACAGAAAGTCAGATTCAGGGATATGGGAAAGAGAAACAGTAGGAAAAGCCAAAACCATTTTTAAAAGTTTCATATCAGAATTTTGTGCCCCTTTTGGGCTTTAATGCTACCTCTTGGCAAGGGGGACAAGTGCTGCTAGGAACGGCCTGCGGCCAAACTGTTGGCACAGCTGCTGCCTGGTTCCTCGGAAGGCTTGAGATGCCGGCAGAAACTGAACGGGACATCTGTCTTGATTTCGCCTGGGTTCTCCTCCCTCCACCCTGCACGCTCTTTCTCAGGCTCTTTTTGCTTTCTCCTCTCCTTATGCCAGGCTCTTACTAGTGGGTCTTTCCCATGGTTCCATCACTGGGTCCCTTCGTATTCTATAGGACTAGCCGAGCAATCACTCTCATTTACTTTACGGATTTAACTAGCATTTTGGTCCAAAGCTTTTTATGTCCAGCTCACTTCTCTTCTGAGCTCAGGCCCATATTCCTACTTGCCTATGTTCCCTTTCTCTGCAAGTCATTCAGACATCTCAAATTCAATGCAGAACAGAGTCTAGATTTCTCCTTGACCCTCCTTCTTCCTGCTTCTCTTATCTCCTTTAATGGAATCACCTTCTGCCAGACACCCCAGGTAGAAACTCTGGAATCTTCTTCTTTTCCTCTTTCAGCCACCAAGTACCACCTTTTCTAATGCAGAAATACTTCTTGACTGTATCTACTATTCTTCATTAGGGCTCCTGTATTATTTCATTTCATTTAGTTTCATTTTAAAGATGGGATCTCACTATGTTGCCCAGGCTGATCTTGAACTCCGGGCCTCAAGCAATCCTCCCACTTTAGCCTCCTGAGTAGCTGGGTTTACAGGCATGCTCCACGTCTCCTGGCATTAGCTTGGCTTTTGATCCTTATCATCTGATACCTGCAGTGGTGTCAAGTCCCCATCACCTCTCTGATCCCACCCCCCACTCTTGTTCTCACTCATTGTTTCAGCCTCTTTACTGTTCCTCCAACAGCTCAGACACACGCCCACGCAGGGTCTCTGCTTGCTGTTGGCTCTGCTTAGTCAGGCAGATATTCCCTAAATATCTGCCTGACCCTCTAACTTCTTTCAGATTTTTGCTCAAATGTCACCTTCTCAGTGAAGTCTTCCAGGACTGTACTATCTAAAATTGTAAGCCCGCAACCCTTGCCTTTCCACTTGCCTGCTTTAATTTTTTTCTTGGTATTTATTACCATCCAACCTCCTATGTCTTTTACTCATTTATTTTGTTTCTTAGCTTTCCTCCATACTAGAACATAAGCTTCATGACGATAAGAACTTGTATTCACTTCTGTATATCCAGTATTTAAAACAGTGCCTAGCATGTAGTATGTATTCAATAGTGAATGAATTAATAAACGGTCTCCTCACCTCTGGTCTCTTCTCCTTTTAATCCATTCCCCATTGCTATCTGACTTATCTTTCTTTTTTTTTTTTTTAAGAGACAGGGTCTTGCTCTGTGCCTAGGTTGGATTATAGTGGTGTGGTCATAGCTCACTGCAGCCTCAAACTCCTGGGCTCACGTGATTCTCCTGCCTAAGCCTCCCAAGTAGCTGGGACTACAGGCTTGCACCACCACACCTGGCTAGTTTTCTTATTTTTTTGTAGAGACAGGGTCTGACTATGTTGAGTAGACTGGTCTTGAACTCCTGGCCTCAAGCCATCCTCCTACCTCAGCCTCCCAAAGTGCAGGAATTACAGGCACAAGCCACCATGCCTGGCCTTATCTTTTTTAAGGTACAAATTTTTATTACAAAACAATTACTCTCTAGCTGAAAAATTTTTATTGCCTCCGTACTGCTTATAAGATAACAAACAATAAACTCCTGAGGAAGGCACTTTCTAATTTGGCCCCAATCTGGCTCTCCAGCCTCAGCTTTCCACTGTGTACCACACAAGTCAGCTACTTACAACTTCTCATTGTTCCTCCCACAGCTCCCAGCCTTTGCTCAGGACAGTATGTCTGCATGGCTGTTTTTGCACCTTCTCTCCATATGGAGAATTGCTTTATTTTTCATGACAGTATTGAAATGTCACTTTTATGAAGACTTCCCAATTCCACCCGACCTCCATGCTTTCCTGAACGTTGGACATTTCTCTCTTATATATAATCAGTATCACAATATACTATCATTATTTGTTGATGCATCTGTCTCCCCATCTAGTCAGTCAGCTCTTCAAGGACAAGAAGCATGCCTGACTCATTGTTATGTCCCTATCGACCTCACCCCCTTCCCCTTAAGACCTAGGTACTTAATAAATAATTAATCAATTAATTAGGCCAGTGTGGTTGTCTGAATAATGGCCCCAGAGATGTCCACATCTTAATCTCTGCAACCTGTGAATGAGCTACTTTATGTGGCAGAAGGGACTCCGTAGTTGTGATTAAGTTAAGGATTCTGAGACAAAGAGGTTATCCCAGATTGTCCATGTGGTGGCCAAGGTAATTGCTAAGAGTCCTTAAAGATGGAAGAAGGTGGCAGGAGAGCAGAGAAAGAGATGTGAGGGCAGATGCAGAGGTTGGAGCAACGTCATTGCTGGAAGGGGGACACGAGACAAGGAATGTGGGTGGCCTCCAGAAGATGAAAAAGGCAAGGAACAGATTCTCCCCCTAAAGTCTCTAGAATGAACAGAGCCCTGCTGACACCTGAGATCTTGATTTTAGTCCTATAAGACCCGTTTTCAGATTCTAACCTGAAAGAACTATAAGATAATAAAAGTGTGTTGTTTTAAGCCACTATGTTTGTGGTAATTTATTAAAACAGCAATAGGAAATGAATAGCCCCAGTTTTAATGAAAAATCGGAATCAGTGTGGTGAGCTCAAGCCCTTGGGGACAGACTGGCTGGTGTGGAAGTGGTGAATCAGGGTGAATGCTACTACTGTGTCAGGAAATAGGTATCCTCCCACCCCCAATGTGGCTTCACCCCTCTCACCCTGTGATTCTTACACAACAGTAGACATTAGAGATATCTGGTTCAAAACAAGAAGGGGTGCTAATTACCTGTTCGGCCTTCAGTTTGAGCTTCCTTGCTAAAGAGACCTCCACTGACAGTTAGGATCTGTATCTTGTATTTCTTGCCTGGCGTTAGATCTTCAAATTTGTGTTGCTTGGTGGTGGCTGGCTCTGACGTGTTGCTCAGAAGGATCCCATCTTCATTTAGAAGCAGGACATCGTATCTTTCTGCCACACCGACAGCTTTTTGCCAGCTTACTATTAAGGAATGACTGCTGTATGCATTGTCTGCGCTTATTCCCTGGACAGTTGCCGGCACTGCAAAGAAGCAAGAGAAGCAAGACAATTCAAGTTCTATCATTTAGGAGGAAGTAGCCAATTGAGAACAACTCTCCTAAATCAACGGCTGTAGGAGACAATGCCTTTGCTTTATTTGTGCCGCACTTTCTGGGTGCCCTTATGGAGAAAACAGGAGAAAGTATTTCTTGGCCTGACTTGTCTGTATAAATACTTTGATATTCCATTTTTTCCTCTGACTTTAGAGAGGATCTTAAAATCAAACAGGTAGAAGAGTTAGTGAAAGTGACATTGATAAATATGCAGACTGATGCGTATCTCTGTATTTAGAAAGTGGAAGAATGCTGAACAAATTTATCTTCAGTGAATGCAACTTGGATGGCTGAATGATGTCTCTAGTTTAGATTTTTATTCCCAATATTAACTCAAGTCAAAACTCTAAGCCTTGGCTTAAGCAGTAGTATATAATAGTATTTGTACTATAGCTCCTGATGTGACAGACAAAATAGTATTATTTCTTAATAATATTTTCTGTCCTAGGTTCATTTCTTTTCTCATTCTACATAACCTTCTTAAGAGGTTTCATCTACCCTCATGGTTTAGATTGTCACCCATAAGATGACAACTCCCAAATTTAAATTTTCAGCTCAGATCTCTCTCCTGTTTTTGCAAATTACATCTCTCCCCAGATGTTCCACAGATACCCAACATTCAAGAATCCAAATAGGACTCCTCGTCTCCCTTCCCCTACGTTCTCATTGTCTTTTGTTCCTCTCTCTTGATCCAAGTCAGAAGCGTAGGCTGTCACCCTCACTCTCCTACATATAAGCAAACACAAGTGTTATAATTTCTGTGTCCTAAATCTTCTATCTCTTGAATCTGTGTGCTCTCTCCTTCTCTACTGTCACTACCTGAGGACCATATCATCTCTGGCATACACTATTGCCACAGTCCCTTGACCAGTCCCTTTCTTCCTCACCTCCGTACCATATCTGGCATATTTTCTTAGCACTCCCATGCTGATGGCCCTTCAGTGGCTCTCCATAATTCTAAAACACCCCACCAGGCATGCAAGGCCCTTCATGATTTGGTCTATCTACTTACCTGGTCACATGGCTCACATTTTTTATTCTAGTATAGTAAGTAGCGTGTCGGGCCTCAAATGTGCCATGCTTTCTCTCATGTGCAGGGTTTTGCTTTTTCTGCTAGAACCCAGTCAATTTACGCTTTACCTGGATGACTTCTTACTCTTTACTTAACTTTTACTTTCTCCTGGAAGCTTTCCTTGACTTTTCTTGTTTGCTCTCAGAACGTTCCAGAATTACTCTTATTTTAGCCTTTACCATGTTGTGTAGTAATTGCTTTTTTACTTTTCTGTCTCCTTCACTAAATTATAAGGTTCTTGAGGTCACGGGCTCTGTCATGCTATTAAATGACCACTCTCTAACATAGTGCTTGACATATGGTTGGAGATGGGTGGATACAGATACATGATATAGAGATGAAACAGAGGCATAGTAGGGCATGGAATAGAAGTCCCAGGCCCTACAACTAGATAAATGGTCATGAGAATGTGAGACATCTAAGAAGTACTGTGTCACAGTAAACAGCATGAGATTTGGAGCCAGATGGACCTAGATTTGAATTATAGCTCTTGGTCTTATTTTATGTATCCTTGATAATGTTTCATAAACTTTCTGAGCCTTACTTTCCTCATCTGTAAGATGAAGTTAATGATCTCTACCTTGTAGTATGACTAGAGATCATGCCTAGATATGCCTAGCATTTCAAAGGCACTTATTGTTTATTTTTGTTTTAAAAATAATATATGAATAGTGATATTAATATAAATAAATAGACACATTTTTCATTCATTTGGTACTTATTCTTTAGCTATCCCAGGTAAAGTAGAAAGCATGGGTATGTTTTTTCTTAAAAAGAGAATTTTGAGAAAAGGGAGAAATTTTGAAAAATATATAGTTATGGAAGTCTGCTTGTTAAAATGAAAAATTTTATATCCTT